GTGTGGTCCAGTCATGTCAGCCTCATAGCGACGCGATAGATGCACACATACACCAGAGCAAAGCATGGCTTCTTCTCCAAGAGAAAATGGAAAATGCATTCATGAGTATAGCATAGAATATGTACTTGCATCTCCAGTCATTTAGAGGCAAACAACCCTTACATTACAGAGAGACTCCAGTGCCGGCCCTCAGAACCTAACCAGGCCTTGCCTTCTCCTCCTCGTGGTTCACACAGAGCAAGGGGATGGACGACAAGGGCTACAGAGAATACGCGACAGAGTACCACTCTCTCTGCAGGGACTTCAGGGGGCTCAAGAATGTAAGGGGGAAAAGAAAGATTTGTGAAAGATTTTAACTCAAAAACAATTCCAGCGTTGATTCTTCTTTTTTTTTTCTTCTTTCTTCCTTTGCTTCCCCAGAGAAGTGCAGACTTGCTTATTACCCAGTCAGCAGCACCAGCGGGCACTGGTGCTGGTGGTAGATTGTGTATCTTTGAGCTTGGATGAAAAATAAAGATCATGGGTTGTTTAAGACCATTCTGTCTTAAGTGGGAAGCCTCTGCCTATGCCAATTCAAACAGGAAGAAATGAAGTTGGCCTTCTCAGCCTGCTGTACTGGTCAAAACCAGAGAGCACAACTGGCATTGGGTTGCATTTGCTGTGATGGTGGGATGGTGTTCTAGAGCATTCCCTCCATTTAACCAGGGCCTTCCTTCAGCGTTCTCCAATACCCTTTCCTTTCGAGGCTGATGATGCATTAAAATTTCCCAAGACCTTCTGTCCCCACATAATGGTTTATATATTAATGTATTAATGATGAGTGTAATGTCTTTTCATGTGCTTTTGCCATACAGCATAATCTAAGACCTTTTTATCTGCTGGAGGATAACCGAGAGGAATTGTTCCAACCTGCACGTAGCTCTTTCCTGAGAGAGCCCGGGAAAGAGCTGTCGTTGGACTCGTTCCTGCAGCGCATGGTTTCACTGCCCACTGTGACTGTGCTCCCACATCCCCTGCTCGTGCAGCAGCCACCCCGGAGCAGTTAAACACGTGTCACTTCAGTTTAGTAGTCACATGACTTCAACTTCTACATGTTCTACCTGATCTGCAGGTTCTAGCAATGTCTTCTTTTCCAGTGTAGGAAAGTGGACTCATTCAATCAGTCAACAAATTCTTGTTGAAAGCCAGCTACATGTGAGCTATTATTACAGGCAGTGGGTATCCGCCTTTTAAAAAGATGGGCTAGCATGGAGCTTCTAGTCTAGTGGCAGAGATGGAGGGAGGTTATGAACCATAACAATAAATCATCAGTGATAACTGCTATGAAGAAAATACAACAGGTGATGAGAGGGTTTGGGGGAAACCAGCGCCTCACAATATAACAGGTCCGGTGGGCATACTTGTGCGGTTATGATTATAAAGATTATAGTAATGTCATAGAGAATAAGAGAGATAGACTTGCAAGGTAGAATTCGTATCATGATAGTGGGGGCGGGGAGGAAACATTTAGGAACTAGAGGAAAGTTGTATTTTTCATCGTTGCTACATCACACCC